GCATGAGGGAATCTTGGTGTGTTGAAGGAAAAATATATATGCAGCACAAGGGGGCTGGGAGGGTCTTTTTCCCTTTGGGGATGCTGAAACAACTGTATGTTGTATGCTTGTGTTCTGAGTGTCCCCGGTCATATGAGATCAAGTATGGGATTTACCACTTATGGCTTCATGTCAGTACTCAAGAAGTTTCAGACTCTGGGGTACTCTGAATTATGGATGCTCAACCTGTATACTTTTCTAAAGATGCATATAAAGAATCCACTTTAAGTCAATAATCTATGGATAAAAGTCTGTATTTTGTGCTTGTATGTGCATTAAAAGTGTATGTTAAATAAATCATGCAAAGCTAGCATTAAAAATTTAATCATATAAGACTAGCAATAAAACCATATTAAAATGAAATCGACAAAACATACTAAATTTGTATTTGCTACTTTGCTCATATTCACTGCCTTAGTAAATGAGAAACCTAGCCGTTACACTGTCTTACAGACATCCATTTAAAATAAGAAAACATCAGTTACAAGTTTTGTGCCCTTGGGCAGTTATTTAATTTCTAAAGAAAAGCAGTGTTGTAGTTACAAGCAGGCTTGAGTGCTTGCCTCAGCAGCACATATGCTAATATTGGAACCATACAGAGAAGACTAGGATGGCCCCCGCACAAGCAGGCTTGAAATTTACAGACCGCATGGAGAAAGCTACTTAGCTCCTATACGCTTCTGTTTCCTCACATGTAGAAAGGGCTATCTCCACCTCACAGAGTTAAGTATAATACCCATAAGGCACATCAAACAGTCCCTAACACATTATAAAAACCTAATAAATGTCAAATGTTTTAATATTAAGGCTGTTTCCACACTAAATAGAGAGAAATAGCTATCTCAAGAGGCTGTTACAGGAAATGAGAAACACAAAGAACATGGTTCAGATATATGAAACACACAAAGTACTCAATAAGTAGTAATTATTATCACTAAAAAACAGAACTAATGATAATGAAGTTGATGAAGAGTAGGATGACAACACTATCAGACATTAGGTGGCCCAATCCACAACAGTGACAGTTATCCTTGAGTCCTTCCTCTTTCTCATCTTCCCGATTACCAAGTTCTATAAATTCTATTATCCTCAAAAGCTTAAAAGCTATCCCATTTTCTCCATCTTCACTGCCACTTGCCTTACATAATTCCTCATGCATGCTTCCCCAAACCAAAATGCCACAGCCTCCTCTCAGTTGTCCTGACTCCAGGACCACCCCATTTCAACCCATTCTTCACACTCAAAGCTGAGTTTGGTTGTTTCTTTTTTTTTTTTTTTTTTTTTTTAACTGAAATTTGATCATGTCACTTCCCTCTTTAACATCTGCAATCATCTCCACAGACTTCAGAATAATTTTCAAAGTACTACTTGTGGATGCAAAGTCTTTCAGAATTTGGCCACTTTCTCCCTTCCCCACATCATCTTTTTCTACTTGCTTACTTTACAATCTAAGCTAAGCTCCACAGCTCTGATCTACTTGTGGTTTCCCAAACACAGCATGCTCTGTCACCTCTGTGCCTTCCTGTAAGCCCAGAGCATTTCCTTTTTCCCATCCTTACTCCTACTTGACCACTTAATGTTTCACCTCTGTAATTCAACTTCCATACCACTTCATCCATTCCCTGATATCCTGCCCCATTCCATCTTACTCCTATCTTCTTTTTTTTCCTCCCAGCCTGGAAGAACTTTATGACTAATATTATAAAAGTGAAGCTAACATTTAAACCCCTATAGCTTCAATTTTTTTAAACACTAGAATTGAAAATATGAGCAAAAGAGGCCATATTCTAACTAAGAGATTCTATTTCAAATGTGGAACTAATATATATATACATCTGCCTATATTACTTGTATTTATTTAACATACTGCTTTTTAAATTAAAGGTATTTTCATCTATTTAGTTTCACTTTATAATCACCAAAGTCTTTTAATAAAACTTGGGAATAAGTGCCTCCCCCACGTGGAGATCAGTTTACACAGGCCCTCTAACAAGTTTAGCAAGTCATTTAAGGTTCAATAGTTCAAAATTACAAAAGTTGAACTCTAAACATGACGAAAAAACTTTCTACCTATAAAGTAAAAAGCTGACTCTAAAGTAACAGAAAAGTTCATAACAGAATGTATAAGCAAAAAAAAAAAAAAAAAAAGAACCAAAAATCAATAGTATTTCTAAGAAACAGGGTTTGAAAATTTTAAAGTAACATTTTGTAAATTGAATATCTTAACAATTTTAAGCAAGGTAAAATGTGATGTGTTTCTAAAGATTTTTAAGAGTTTTATATGAATCAGGTTGCTTATTAAATAAGCACTATATGTTGAAACCTCAATAATTTGATACACAATTACTATACTGGTAACATTAGAAAAAAGAGGCTCAATTTATTGCAAGAAATGTTTATACCAAAAAAAATGAAAGCTGAGAATGTATAACATTAATAATCAAGACCCTGCTATTAACACTCCTAATTATTTTTAAAAGTTAGCCTCTAATCACAAGCAATTAAACAAAATGTAAATATATAAAGTATTAAACTGAGAAACTAAAGTTTCAAGCTCTTTAATATTAAAATGGTATTCCCGCCTCTGGTGAGATGCACAATGAAGGGTATATTGAGGAATGTGAAGGCTCACATTGAGGAATGTGAGCATATTCTTATTCTTATTTAGTCAATATTTTCCTTCTTTCTAGATTTCATTAAAATACACAAATATAAAAAAATTAACAATATTTTAAAAATCTAAACAAAAATCATGTCACGGTAAGAGGGGGTGCTGCTAGGAGATGCAAGTATAAATTTAGATATACCTCATACAAACATTTTTTTTCTTTTTTAAGAGACAGGATCTTGCTCTGTTACTCAGGCTGGAGGGCAGTGGTGTCATCTTGGCTCATTGTAGCCTCGAGCTCCAGGGCTCAAGTGATCCTCCCACCTCAGCCTTCAGAATAGCTAGGACTGTAGTCACATAAAACTAAGCCTGGCTAATTTTTTTTATTTTTTGTAGAGACGAGGTCTCACTATGTTGCCCAGGCTTGTCTGGAACTCCTGGCCCCAAGCAATCCCTCTGCCTCCCAAAGCACTGGAATATCATTGTTACTGGATCTTTCTACTTTGTCATATAAAATATAACTGAAACGAGTGACAAATCTCACCCAGATATAGTATTCACAGATAAGAATCATGTTTATAGTTCTCTTATCAAAGACAATCATTTGCTTAATAAAGATTCTGTGACTTCATTACCCTTAATGGAGGGTAGGTCTCCAGTGTAAAATAAAAAAATAAACATGCTACAAGGTGAACAATCTAAAAAAAGATTCTAAAAATATTTTCATTCACTGGCAAATCATATAGGTTTAAAAATTAATTTAAGTGTTTTACTATTGTAATCTTCTACAGCTTAACATGATTTACATTAAAAATCAAGTAAATTCTTCCTCAACACAACTAATTTTGCATACAGTATGAAGAACATTAGACTTGAAATTAGGAGGCTTGGGTTTTGGCCCCAGTTTTGCCACTAATTCTTTAGGCCTAGTGTCATTTCGTGTAAAATGAGAGAGTAGAATTTAAAATTTCTAAGTATGAATGTGAAAGAACTCAGCTCCTGACTTTATTTCCAAGAATTCAATCTCATTTTTTTTGTATACTATAGTATCTTAAGTTTCAAAAGGTAAAATTACGTAGCTTGCTAATAAGTTTCTAATTCCCTTTATATATCTGAAACTAAGAACCTATTTTTATAGAAAACTACCCAATACAACTAATTTTTGTGCTGTGTTTTTCATTTTACAAAATGCTAATAACAATTCTGTATGGGAGGTACTATTATCCCAACTCTACAGAAAACTGAATTCGAAGAATTGTTAAACATAACCCTTTTTAAAATAATCCACATTTTACTAAATCTATAGTTTTAAAAATGGCTCAGTGAACATTGTTTCTTATAGCTAATTGATTCTGAAGATGTCTTGGAATTATAATTCAGCTTAAAAAAGGGGAGTTCAGCATTGTTTAACCAGAAGTTGCTACTTGTAAGCAACAGAACTAGAAATTATACGATATTTTCTAATTCCAAATATCCCATATAACATATTAAAACATCAAACCGTATTAAATCTTAAAGTCATATTATGACTTTGAACAGTGAAATTTAAAACACATGCAAAGATTTTTAAATAAAACGTATAGAGGAGATGTAATAATAAATAAAAAGAAGGCCAGGCGTGGTGGCTCATACCTGTAATCCCAGCACTTTGAGAGGCTGAGGCGGACAGATCACCTGGGGTCAGGAGTTTGAGACCAGCCTGGCCAACATGGTGAAACCCCGTCTATACTAAAAATACAAAAATTATCTGGGCATGGTGGTGCACCCCCATAATCCCAGCTACTGAGGAGGCCAAGGCAGGAGAATCGCTTGAACCCAGGAGGCAGAGGTTGCAGTGAGCCGAGATCACACCACTGCACTCCAGCCTGGGCGACAGAGTGAGACTTCATCTCAATAAATAAATAATCAAGTTATAAAGTCAAAAAAATATCAAAAGGTCGAACAAAATTACTGGATCCCAAAAGTATGTGGAAAGCTTAAACACTGGCATTTCTTTTCTCTATTAGAATTATTTAATATCACACTTTAAAAACATGAAAGAGCAATTTTTGCAAATATTATCTTCATTTAAGTTTACATTTCTAATCAAATTTCTCAAAATGCATATGCCCAATTTATATTATCAGCTGAAGTGCTCTAGACTTTTTTAGGAACCACCTCAGCACAGCTAGCACAATTATCAAAATAATCCTTTCTAATTCAAAATCTAACATTTGATGGTTTTATTAACTTAAATGTTTTATCTGTTATGATACTGTAGTTTTTCTACAAGCGCCAGAAGAATTTAGAGTAAGTAGCAAACTATCAGAGCCAAGTTACAAACAATGGTTAAGGTAAAAACTGAAATACTCACTTTGTTATTTTGTGTCACAAGAATACTCCCACCCCCAGGTTTCAAAGGCACCTCTTCCATTGCTCCAAATACATCAGTCTCAACAGAAAAAGTTAGTTCTAGACCCAGATCACTTATATCATTATCTAAAATCCATTGCAAATTTTTGGCATATTCTGGATCAATGGATGCCACATCTTGGTAATTTACAGGAATACCTAAAAAATGCAAACATACAACAGTTATAGTCTGTTTCTGCCTTCCCTTATCTATTTAATGGTAAAATACTGCCCTCTACAGATATTCTGCAAAACTGCAAAATATAATATAATCCTATTCACAGCATATTTTAAATGGATTCCTGAATTTGAAAGTCTGTTAAATTAAGCCTGTGTTTCTTTCACATTGTTACAATGTAATATTTCTTTGAAATAGCTATTCAGGAAGTTATTATAAACTTCAAAAGTGCCAATTATCTTAAGTATATTCATATTGAAATGTATTCTTAGCATAAACATACACACACTAAAATTGAAAAAAAAAACCTAACTTAGCTGAAAGTGTTTGGAAAAAAAAAAGGTAGGTCATTTTTTTTCTCCTTCAAACCTCAAATGCCTTACATATACAGATGGTCTCCAATCAAAATAAAAATTATCTCATCCAAAATGCTACTGCTTATCTAGTTTTCCTCAAACTGAAAGGAAAACAATATAAATAAATGTCTACAGAAATAATAATAGAGCCATACCAAGAATGTGCTTGTAGAAGGATCGTGTGAAGTAAATATTGACCAGCTGCCTATGGTTCAATGCTAATCCCAAGATCTGCCCAGCAAACCGAAAATAGTTCAAGTGATCAGGATTTACGTAAGAGTTGCTATTAGGCTGAAAAGTTGTTCCTATTGAAATAAATACAAAATAATATATTATTAAGAATCTATATGCAGAAGAAAGATCACTTCAATGCAGATAAACTAATTCACATACAACTTCAGGAAAGCTAAGGTGACATTGTGTACAAACTTCCAGAGAAATGTTCTTTGTGGAATATATAACAGGTGGTAAGTAGAATTGTAAGTATAGATAACCATTAATTCACACATATTTATCACAGTAATCTACACCAGAGAGAAAATTTTAGAGTACTTTTGACTGAAATTAGTTGGATGATCATTAGAGACACTCCGGAAATAATACAGCAGAGGATTGCACACACACACACACACACACACACACACACACACAAGCACATATACACAGTTTCCTAGGCAGTATGGCAATAGGCTGTTCGCTAGGACAGACATTATCCCATTCGTCTGTATGTGCCAGTGCAGTAAGTATTTTTTGCTTCTTCAGGAGTAGAACGCTATGAGAATAACTAAAAATTGTAAATGTACAACTGTTAAGTGACAGGCCTAGTCAACGAACTTGATGCCTGTTAACAATGATTAGAAAATCACCTCAGTCCACAAGGTAACCAAGTCTTTCTAACAATTACCTCTGAGGTGAAAGTAAACATGCGGGGCAATAGTTACCAATTACAATGAAAATCCAATGCAATGGAATATGAATCCACTTTTATAAAACATCTAGAATAGGCAAATTTATAGATAGGTCAAGTAGATTAGTAGTTACCTCAGGCTGAGGAAAGGGGATATGGGAGAGACTGCTTGATGGGTACAGAATTTCTGCTTGGGGTGATGAAAAAGCTCTGAAAATAGATAGTGCCCGATGGTTGCACAACACTAAATGTACTTAAATGCCACTAAATTGTACACTTTCAAACAATATAAATGGTAAACTTTATGTGTATTTCACCACCATAAAAAAAGAAAAGTCTCAAAAAAAAATACTACTAGTTAAAAGTTAAAACCTAATGCCAAAACCTCAACTTTAAATAACTTTCTTTTCCTATTTTTCCTATTTTTCCGTGATGGCCACTAATTCATATTACAAATTCACTCATTCATTCAACAAAGACATAATGAGCTCATGCTACATACTACTATTGTAAATGCCTGGGCTAAAAGAAGTAACTGATAAACCTAATGAAATAGCATCAAAGAAAAATAAAAGGTAGAAATGTGCTGGAAAGTTAAATGTTTAGTCATTTTGACAATAATTCACTCTGTGTTTCATTGATCTTTGATTTCTCAGTGCTGACACCAGGTTAAACTGCTGACTAGTTTATTTAGATATTAAGGTACAAATTTGGAAGCCTATGGTATTAGTAAGTCATGTGAGTCTCATCATTCACTGTTAAGGACTTTTGGAGAATAATTCCCTGTCATGAAGCAAGACTTGATATTAAAAGCCAAAGCAAAGCTTTGTGAGATAAAGGCAGACTTCAAAGACAAATATAATCATAATCCCAAAAATATAATATTCTGAGAATAACCACAAATATTTTTTACCCGTTAAAACAATGAATGATTAGGGCTACAAAGATTTTTGATGACTCTATTTTCCTCCCCTAGCTCTGTGTTTAATTCCCTCTCTAATTACTTTCTGAGAAATCTAGATACTTAAAAAGGATAAGGAGACTTTTTTTTTAAAAAAAGGAAACATATAGGGAGAAAATCTTCAGAAAAGGAGTAAGAAAATTCTAAATAGAATTAAAAGTTTATGATAAATTTTAAGTTCAAAAAACATATATATAGCTGTTACTCCTCCAACTGTTTTCATGCTCTCAGAAAAATCCTAGTATACAATAATATCATTTTCATGTAATGATAATAATAGCATATAATATTTATACTTTCTATATGCCAGGCACCGACAAAGCATTTTCACATATTAGCTAACTGAATTCTTACCACATTACAAAACACAGGTTATCATCTTTTTTTTTTTTTTTTTTTTTGAGACGGAGTCTCGCCGCGTCACCAGGCTGGAATGCAGTGGCGCAACCTCGGCTCACTACAACCTCCGCCTCCTGGGTTCAAGCAATTCTCCTGCCTCACCCTACCAAGTAGCTGGGACTACAAGCACATGCCACTATGCACAGTTAATTTTTGTATTTTTAGTTAGAGACGGCGTTTTACCATGTTGACCAGGATGGTCTCAATCTCTTGACCTTGTCATCTGCCCACCTCGGCCTCTCAAAGTGCTCGGATTACAAGCGTGAGCCACCGTACCCAGCCAGGTATCACCATTTTTAAATGAGGACACGAAAGTGCAGAAAATTAAGTTTACTGGCCCCAAGATCATATCAAAAGAACAGCAGTCAAGATTCTCACCATGTATAAACCCAAATGACAAATTCATAACAACTATACTACTTCACTACTGTAAGCATCTTAATTTCATTAGAAAACAAGTTTTTAAAAAAATTATTATAGATATCAGGTCTACCCAAACATTTGCCACATTTAGAAATTCTTGATTCCTATATGTAATTCTCTTTGTCAACTAAACCTAAGAGTGTGAAAATATTTCAGCTTGATTTTAATTTATTAATACTATGACCCCAAAGAGGAGACCGATATGGCTTACAAAAGACATAAATCAAAATGTCTGGCCAGACATAGTGGCTTACACCTGTAATCCGAGGCGGGTAGACAGCATGAGCTCAGGAGTTTGAGGCCAGTCTGGGCAGCATCGTGAAACCTCGTCTCCACAAAAAGAATAGAGAAATTACAAAATACAAAAACTAGCTAGGCACCATGACTGGTCTCCCAGCTCAGGTGATCCTCCCACCTTAGCCATACCAGCTACTCGGGAGGCTGAGGTGAGACAGTTCCTTGAGCCCAGGAGGTCAAGGTTGCAGTGATCCAAGATTGCGCCACTGCCCTCCAGCCTGGGTGACAGAGTGAGATTCTGTCTCAAAGGAAAAAAAAAACAACAACAACAACTTTATGGGTCTATGTACTTCAACATTTGCTCTGCTACAAATCTATAACATTAAGGAAGTACCTCAACTAATGATTCCACACCAAATCTGTTTTTCAGATATTAAGCTAAGTAGACTTAGAATAAAGGATATAAAGAGAAGAAGTAAGTCTAAAATATAATGCTAGATCTAGCTTCAAAGATTAGGCCTAAATAATTAAACTCAGGGGTTCATTGAACTTGTCATTCACAAAGACACCAAATTCACCTCAGAGCAAAGAATCAAAGGTTACCAAGTTAAAGCAGGCAGTTCCATGTTCCTATGCAATTGCAAATACTCAAAGTGTATCCAAGAAGCCCATCACAGGGATGAATGCCTGCAGCAGCCTAGCTCTGTTGCAGCCCGCTCCCACATGCCTCCCTTAAAATCATCCTTCTTATCAAATAGGGATTTGCTGTTAGTTTGGTTGGAAGCAATCAGAAGCTACCATTAATGAAGTATTCTCTCCTGATAAAAGAATGTAAACATTTGGGGAAAGAAAAGATTTTCAGGAAAAACGAGCGACTGTGCAAAGCATTTGAAAACTGAAATCCCACCTTCACTTGGAATATGTCTTTATTAAGTTAGAGAGCTCTCAAATATGCCTCACACAAATGAGATAACTATTTCCATTTAGTCTACAATAGCAAATTAAACTCTATAGGTCACAAGCACCATTTCAACAAGGAGGGTTAATTATCTGTTGTATATGGTTAAATAAGCGCTTTATAGTAGCCAGGTCTTGATCTCTTAAAATGACTGAAAATAAAGTTAGTATATATAAATAGATTAAGAGTTGAAATTTTACATCATGATTTCTAGACTTTGGTTTTCCTAACCAATATATTTTAAAACTTGGAAACTCAAATAGAGTTAGCAAATTTTTATTTTTCCAAATAGGGACTTGTATTTGTTTAAGGCCATCTACAAGCAACATTAATTTTAATGAAATGAAAAATCTAACTCAAAAAAAGTAGACTAAAGGATAATCCTTAAATTGAGCAAATTTAGTTTTATTTTATAAAGGACTGATAAGAAACCTCCTTGGGGCCAACACTAGTCCTTGAGATAAGCATCTGGGAACCAGCTGTTAAGAGGAAAAAAGGTTAGACTGAGTCAGGTTCCACTTATGATTCTACTACTTATTAACTGTGTGAATGCAGATAAAAACTCTGAATTTCAGTTTTCTCATCTATAAAATAAGAATATCCCACCTAGCTCACAGGTCTGCTGTGGAAATCAAAAATAAAATGTACTGAAATAGTGTGAAAAATGTGACAAGTTGCAGAAAAAGTCAACTAGACCATACAACTTACCATCAGCTGACTGGGTGAACAATGCATAATCAGGATTGACTATCTCATTGGACAGAATATCAAACCATTCACGCACAACACCTTGACCCTGAATTCAAGAAATAAAATTAAACATCAACAGAAATATGTTATACTGGGAAATTTTTTTCTAAATAAAATTTAAATATAAAGTTTCTTCCTTTATCAACTGAACATTAAACTTTATTCAAAAGGCATTTCAATCTTTCTTTACATACAGTGATTTCTACATCATCATCTTTTATACCCACCATGCCTTCTTCTCCATGGAACCGTACAGCAATCCCTTGCTTTAGCTTTGCACAATTTGCTTTTGACACAACTTCACAGCTACTCCTAAAAATAGAATCTAAATATGTAGCATTGGTTAATTTTACATATTAAAACTTACAATAACAAGCACTTTGTGGTTCACACATACATCAGCTTCTTTGTTAAGCATACCTCTGTGAACCAGCAGGATATCATTTTCATTCACTGGCCTATGTACCATGTCTGAATCTGGCTGTCCTGAATGCAGATGTTCATAGAACCATTCACAGCGATCTTTAAAAGGCTAGCTCAAAAAATAAGAGTAAAATATGTTAGCAGTATATCAGTTATCTAATTATCAGATTTACTAGTATGTTAAATGCCTTTTCTACAAATAACCATCCTTAGATCTTTATTTATAATAAGGAGTTACTGAATAATGTGTTTTAACATTAGTAACTATTCACAAAAAGGCAGAACTTAGCTGAAATAGCTTGGCTACCTAGAGAAATGTATTTTTTTTAATTCCTACATTTTCAACACAAAAGACTTGATAAATTTGGTTATGTTGCAGAACTTAATATCAGATATGTAATTGAACATATTTATTCACACCCAGAAAAATTATGTTGCATGTTCCATTTAATTTTTCATGAAAATAATCTCTTACACCTAATCTTATTTATTTATTTTGGTTTATTGCTGCTGTTGTTGTTGTTTTGAGACAAAGTCTCACTCTGTTGCCCAGGCTGGAGTGCAGTGGCGTGATCTCTGCTCACTGCAACCTCTGCCTCCTGAGTTCAAGTGATTCTCCTACCTAAGCCTCCCAAGTAGCTGGGATTACAGGCACTCACCACCATGCCTGGCTAATTTTTGTATTTTTAGTAGAGATGGGGTTTCACCATATTGGCCGGGCCGGTTTCGAACTCCTGACCTCAGGTGATCCACCCATCTCAGCCTCCCAAAGTGCTGGGATTACAGGCATGAGCCACCACTCCCAGTCTCTTACTCCTAACTTTATTCTTATTTCTATCCTTTAGAATATATGCAGAAACTGGAATGGAATTTGTTATCCCTTCCCATTCTCCACAATAAAAATTGAAGAACAAGATCTCTTGAATAGCAAAGAAAATCTCTCCTTTTTGTTCCTCTGCCAGGTAAGCAAACTGTAAGTGATCTATAATTTTTGATTAATCAGAAAGTATCGAGTACGTAGTATGTACCAACACTGCATGTAACATAAGAGCAGTAAAAACTCCATGAACTTGCTAAAAACTGTTTAATACAGTTAAAGAGATGAGACTAACATAGAGTAACACAATATAATATATATATATATATAAAAATAAAATATCAAGTTCTAAACAATGAAGCATGAGCTATAGAAGCCCTGGTCGTGGTAGCAAAGAGGAACAATGAAGTCAATCTGAGAGATACTACTCCTTTGAATAAGCATTAAGAGAAGAGGCTGGGTATGCTGGCTCATGCCTGTAATCCCAGCACTTTGGGAGGCCGAGGCAGGAGGATCGCTTGAGCCCAGGAGTTTGAGACCAGCCTGGGCAACAGTGAGACCCTGTCTCTACCAAAAAAAAAAAAGTTTTAATTAGCCAAGCGTGGTGGTATGCGCCTACAGTCCTGGCTACTCAAAAGACTGAGGTGGGAGGATCCTTGAACCCAGGAGTTCAAGGCTGCAGTGAGCTATAATTGTAGTGTGCTCACCTTGTCACTCCAGCCTGAGTGACAAAGTGAGACCTTATCTCTACAAAAACAAACAAACAAACAAAAAAGTAAGGTAAGAGCTCTGCAAGATAGAACTTATTAATAGAAATAACTTAAAGCGGAAAAGCCCTTTCCCCATAACCTACCCCCACACTCCTAGAAGGTGCTGGTGGAAATATAATGAGTAAGATTTTACGTATCGTGAGTTTAAAGATATAGTGGGGTGTAACTATTAGGGATTTAGAAAGAGATACTGGACAGTGATGCAGCTGAGATACTGAAAATAAAGCCATGAACAAAGGTGAAGTTGGAGACAGTATAAGGTTCAAGAGATGAAAGACACAGAGAACAAACACCAAGAATAAAGAAGTTTATGATCACAAGTCACGACTGAGAATTTGCTTAGCAAATGATACAGACAGCAGGAAAAGTCAAAGGAGAACCAAGGTGGTGCAATACCATCACAAAAGCTAAGAGTTTCAAGAGATCAATATGATGAATACCATCCAACGCCACAAAAAAGTTATCTTCCAGGTGGCTTTTAGGACACCAATAAATTTCTTCATCTGAGCTAAATTAAGTAAGTTTTTTTTTAAAGATTCAAATATCACTTGTTATTAATTCTTAATAAAAACACAGTATGATTGATGAGAGAAGAACTTCTGCCTTTTAATATTTGCTTTCAGTAAGAAAAGGATAAATGCTACCTTTTTAAAGTTAAATGTGTAATTCTGTCCATACTTCTAACAGTCTTCCACATTCTTAATAAAGCACTGGTGTTACATGTTATATGCATTACTATACATATAAATTAAATATTTCATTTTCAGTTAACAAGTTGAAATATAAAGCACTTGAAATTCTAATGCTAACTATTTCTAAAAGTTTGGTTTAAGAGGAAATAAAAAACATTACACAGAAGCAATTATTTAAGTATGGGCTTTGAAGTCAGATAAACATGGTTTGAGAATCCCTCACTCTGTCATTTACTAGACTTATCTTAAGGAAATTATTAATCCTCACAGAACTTTAGTTTTCTCATCTGTAAAACACAGAAAAGAATACACCTACTTCAAGAGCTGTTAGGATTAAATTAAATAATTCAAATAAAGAAAATAATTATGATAATTATAATACTCATAATTATAATAATAAATTAGCAAACATTTATTAAGCACCTATAAGCCGGGTACTTTTTGAAGCACTTTACAATGCATTACCACATACAACCCTCACAACACTATGAGAAAAAGGGACTTTTGTCCCCATTTTACCAAAGATAAAAATAGACTAAAAGCATTTATACTAATGCTCTAATACTCAATACCTGGAATGCTCAATAAATAGATATTGTTCTTATTGTCATTCACAGCAATGTTAAAATTACTGTCAATAACTATTTAAAAGAAAACTTACTGCCCATTATAAAATATTAAACTATATCCTTTATCTATGAAATGTGAACCGAGAAATAAAAACAAATGGACCCTTTTCAAGTAATTCAAGTGTAACATTAAAAGGTACAAACTGCTACCTTCAAAACCTAACACAATATCTATAAGATCAAAACACACACACATATACAAACACCTACACAGCCAAAAGGCACATTTTTGTATGTAAACTTTCTAGAATACCTGCATTTCCATAAATAATTCACAAAACAGGACTGATTATAGAGGCTCCTCTTAATAGCATTTGTATAGCAAGACAAAATGTTTCTCCCTTTAAGTACTGGCCACCTGAAAACCACCAACAGAAGAAGTCTATCCCTCAGCAGAGGTAGTTGCTGTTTTTAACTTTCTAGAGGAGGACAATCTCCAAGTTACAGAAAACTTCTAAGTACAGTAGAGTACAAAGTACTTTTTTTTTCCTCTGCTGTGAGAGAAAGTTGCCAATATAATGTCCAGTCCCCTATAAACACTTAGGTGTTTATTTCCTACAAACAAGGGAAGTTTCCTCTATAACTAGATAACAACCATCAAAACCAGAAATTAACTCATCTGATAACATCACTACGATCAGACCCCACTTCAAGTCTTGCCAATTTTCCAATAATGTCCTTTTATTGCAACATGATTCATGAACTGCCTTTAATTGTCCTGTCCTGTCTCCTTCACTCTGGTATATTTCTTCAATGTTTTCTTAATTTTCATAACCTTGATAGTTTTAAAGATTACAGGCCAGTTAATTCTGTAGAATGTCCCTCAACTGTATTTAGTCTGATGATTTCTCATGATTAGATTTTAGGTGTGTATTCTTGGCAGGAATATCACAGAAGTGATGCCATGTTGTCCTCAGAGCATCCTATCAGCCGGCACACTGCTATGTGTGTTTTGATCACTGTCAAGCTTCTCTCCTGTAAGGCATCCTTTTTCTCTTTGTAATTATTCTGTCAGGAGATAATTTGAGACTGTGTAATCATCCTACCCTTCATCAAACTTTCCATTTATTCATTAATTTTTTCAGTACAGACTCATAGGTTCCTATTTATGTTGCCATCATTCTTTATTTTGATGTTCAAATTCTTCCAAATTTGGTAGTGCGAGTCCATTCAAGCTGTCTTCTGAGTCATGTTAACATAACCCCATCAGTCTTTGAACACTTCCTTACTTTCTTACATAATAAGATGTTGCAGGCTTATTTTATACTTTCCCTGATCTAGCCCTGGAATTAGCCATTTCTCCAAGGAGCCCTGGTTCATTGAGAATGGCACTGAGAGACCAAGAGCTAGGTGCCAGGTTTGCTACATGTATCTATGCAGATTTAAAACTAAATTCAAACTGGTAACTCTAATTCGGCAGAAGGTTCCTTCTAGTTTCCTCCATTTTGTAACTCCTTTCTCCAACAACGAGAAGTTAAGACTCTCATACTTGCTTATTTGATCAACCTGCAACCCCACTCCCTTGGTCTGTTACCAATCTCCAATAGCTGGCATGGTCCCTCCACTGCATAGATGCCCTCTACCCCACTGGGGCTTCATCAGACAGCACTGATCAGCTGCAACCACTCCCATATGGAAATCCTCCTTATGCCACTCTAACCCGCATGACTCACACTGGGACCCTCTTCTACACGGACACCTTCTTAATCACATCCAAACTCCAAAACCCCACACTAGGCCATCACTACACATGTAGACACCCTCCTCACCCTAGTCAGGCAACAAACACCCCGCTCTCTGGGTCAACAGAGTGGATACCTAATACAGATGATTTCTGACTAAACTGTCCAGGAAGGGAAGAAGGAATAGAAAGTAAAATCAGAGACAGTATTAAGTTGGTGCAAAAGTAATTGTGGTTTTTGCCATTTTAATTAATTTGACAATTTTAACTTGGCAATTAAAAGTAATTGCCAAAAACCGCAATTACTTTTGCACCTACCTGTATTAAAAACAGAAGACTCTCTCTCAAAAATAGTGAGATTTTACCTGTTATCTCACCTTCTTTCACCTGTTATCTCATTTGCCCCAGAACAGTATCATACAGTGTAGGTCAAGAAACAACTTGGCCAGGAGTGGTGGCTCATGGCCATAATCCCAACACTTTGGGAGGCTAAGGCAGGTGGATCACTTGAGCTCAGGAGTTCAAGGCCAGCCTGGGCAGCATGGCAAAATCCTGTCTCTAGAAAAAAATACAAAAATTAGCCAGGTGTGTTGGTATGCACCTGTAGTCCCAGCTACTTGAAAGATTGAGCTGGGAGGATCACTTCAGTCCGGGAGGCAGAGGTTACAGTGAGCTGAGATCAACTACACTCCAGCCTAAGTGACAGGTGAAACCCTGTTGTCAAAAAAAAAAAAGAAAAAAGAAAAGAAAGAAATTGAACTTGAGAACCAGACAGACTTTTAAATTGTGGTTCTCCCATTTAGTAGCAGAATGACTTAAACAAGTTACTTAACCACTTCAGCTTAGAAAAAAAGAGCAGCCATCTTACACAATGGTTAAGAAAACAAAATAATTCATGGAGGCAAATACACAGCACCTGACCTAAAATTAGCATTCAGTAAATGTAAGTTATTATTACTGCCTTCTCTTTCACATTATCATTATTAAACAGATGTCAAAAGATCCCTCTATACACTTGTGCATAATTGTATAAAAATTAGTTCATAGATTAACTTCTGAAAAGATATTAAAAACCACTTATCGTATTTATTATCTTACAACTACTAACCAAACCATTGCCTACAGTCTGTCCTACATATCTGGCAAATTATCTTCTAAAACTTTGCCGGAATTATGCCATTCTCCTAAAGCAAGGGTATCAGTGGCTTCTAACAGCCTAGCAAACCAAGAAAATTATTTGATCTGGAAATCAAGGCTCATCACTGGATGACACCAATCTACCTTTCCAGAACTCTATCGTGCTCCTATCTACACAAAATTTCTGCTGCAATACTACAGTTTTATACACTTTTCTGTCTACATGCTCCAGCCCACAAGCTGGCTAGAAACTTCTCCCTCCTTGTTTACTCCCATCAAAATGTTGCATATTTTTTCAAGCTTTCTCAACGTAACTTAAAATCTGCCTCCTCTGAAATTTCCCTTGACTACAGATGCCAGAGCCAGCTCTTCCTCCCTTAAACTCCTAAAGATCCAGGTAATGTAGTCACTGTTTTATACGTATGTTTATTATCTCCCCAGCCAGACTGAATTAGAATCCTCTTAGAGAAAGGAAGTAAGTTTTCTATCTCCAAAACAACTACCATTTATTGAGCATATATCACAGTCATTCTTGACAATTTATTCTTGACAATAGTTATATGAGGCTGCTGTCATTATCTCTGTTTTGTAGATGAAGAAACCAAGGGCTCAAGGATGTTAGGAAATGTGCCCAAAGTTCACATAGCTGGTAAGCAGCAAAACAAGTTTTCCTCCAGCTAGCTTCATGTAACATGAGATATATGGAATGAACAGATACACATCTGGTAGGGGAAAGGTGGTCAGGTCAAATAAGTTTGGAGGATTAACAAAGCTAAATCACTATTTTTACTAAAGGGCTTCTCAAAGCCTTTTAACATGCTGCCAATGTGATTTATAAATTTTCAAAGGGCATATGTTATGTAATTTCCCAAGTGTATTTGGGGCTAAAATCCTTTTCAAAAGGACAATCAGCCTTATAGGACTAAAGAGTTTCATTAAGCTCCTTTCAGGAAATGTGGCAATGTGTTCTGTTGCTTTTGTACAGACCTCTGCAAATAATAGGCACTCTATACGTATTTCTTGAAGAAAACTTACTTCTCATATTAAAGTAACATGCAATCATTCCTCTTACAATAGAATGTCTGAAGTGTAATAATTATTCCACTAAACAATATTAGAATTTTAGAAATTAATTTCATTAGATAGAATAAAAAGATGAAGAAAAATTTCTACCTGTGCTTTTATGATATGCATGAATCTTGACATCAACTCAGGACATTCAAGGAGAAAGTGAAAGTGGTCAAATATAATTTTGGGATTTCTAAAAGAAAAATATTTTGTTTAAATGGACAAGAAGCATGAGTAGAATTAAGTGAAATGCAAATTCAGATACACTGATACTGAAACAGAAGAAAAATATAATAATCCACATCTATTAAACTTTCATTTGTTATTGAGCATATTTTGAATGGTAAGAGAAATAGTATTTTTTCTGTTTAGATGAAACTCTAAGTAAAGAGAGGAAAGGCTCCAGGGTAGTCCACAAACCCCAGAAAACTTACCTATTAACAAAGCATTTTAAAACTTCATCATGTTTGCAGACAAATTCAATGAAACGAGGTGAAGTCATTCTGTGGGGGGTAAATATCAATCAGAATACACAGGCAAAAGTTTGTGATAAAACAGAGTACTCTTGATAAATATATATTGAACTGGACTGGCTTCTAAACCAAAAAAAAAAAAGAATTTGGTTTTGGATCTTCTTTGTAAGTTTAGGAAACTGAAGTATGCCTAGCCAATTTGTAAAATGATTCTAATTTCTCATCAGCAGACAATATCAACAAGTGACTTTTTAAAAATCTTGAAATTTGGTGCATTTCTGCTCTACACATTTCAAATACATAATTAAGAGATCCTATACAAGGTGACATTCACCACTTTACAAAGTAATAATATATATTGCTTGTTTAAAATTTAAATATTCCCTACTAGATCTAGATTAGTATGAGCATCTTAAAACAAAAAGAAAACTTTAAATCAACAAATTATTATTTGTTGTTTTTGAAATTACAAAAATATCACTGCTTTACATCACATATCAGAGAAAAAATAATAATAAGCCAAACCTTTCTTACCCTGGAGGCATCTGACAAGAACAGCACATGTAAAAAGCTTGAATGACAGCACTTAGCCGGTTGGCTGTCATAGAAATAACATCCTGACAATCTGCACTGGCTTCCTGTCTCCCTGCAAGAGCATCTGGTTTAGATTCCCTTGTGCCACTGGACAGATTTTCATAGCTCCCAGGTCCTGGAGGTTCAAATGGAGGAATGGAAGCAGCATCTTGATCTTGGCCTTTTTGTTTCAGTAAAATAGAAGTGATCTCTGTTGAGTCTCTTTTGTTTTTCATCAATTCTGTGGCTATTAAAACTAGCCATTCATCTAATGAGTGCCAAAGCAATTCCAGAGGCTGAGAGAAAAACAAAAGTGTTTTTTAAACATCATTCTTAACTATAGGATCAAAAAAAAAAAAAAAAAAAAAACCCACATACCTAGACAAATATTATAAAAGAGAAAATTTACTCTAGATATTTCTATCTTCCCAAGTTAATGTGATGGTAATGCCTAAAGATAAGTAACAAAATTATACAAATGCTATATAAATGACAATTGCTTCATTTATGGTAATAATTTAGTTTGTATGTATGTATTCCTTGGAATAAAAAGGAAAAACTAACAAAAAGTTCACAAGCAATCTTTCTTCTTTTAATTTTCAAATATTTAGTTTTAAAAGCACACATTATTATTATTTATAATCAGTCTTAACATTTTCTGTATTAATATGATCAATGTCAACCACTTTCAATTAAACAAATGTCTTTTCTCATTAAAAAATGAGAATCCCTAAAGAACCTAATGAACAGCTTTTTTACTGTGCTCTTTTTGTTACATATAATTCCTGGAATTTTGATAATTATTGACAAGAAATTATAAAATGTGACACATTTATGTATATATGTATATTTACAGACACAATCCATTTCTAATAATTAGTGTTTTTTAAAACAAGAAATACAATTACCAAACTTCTATTAAAATATTGAATAGCAGACCGAGGATGGTGGCTCGCACCTGTAATCCCAGCACTTTGGGAGGCTGAGGTGGGCAGATCACTTGAGGTCAGGAGTTTGAGACCAGCCTGGCCAACATAGTGAAATCCCATCTCTACTAAAAATACAAAAAATTAGCCAGGCATGGTGGCACACACCTATAATTCCAGCTACTCGTGAGGCTGAGGCAGGAGGATCACTTGAACCCAGGAGGCAGAGGATGCAGTGAGCTGAGATCACACCACTGCACCCCAGTCTGGGTGACAGGGTGAGACCCCATCTCAAAAAAAAAAAAAACACTGAGCAGCAAATTATTAATTCCAAGTAAAGACTAACAGCTTTCTATTAAAGAAAAAAAAAGATAAGGAGAGAATAAACCATTTCCTATTATTATTCTAGCTGGGTACAAGGGCACGCACTGGTAGTCACAGTTACTTGGGAGGTTGAAATGGGAGGATTGCTTGAGTCTCGGAAGTCAAGGCTACAGTGAGCTGTGATCGTGTCACGGTACTCCAGCCTGGGTGAAAGAGCGAGATACTGTCTCCAATAGTTTACAAGTGCTACAGTGGTTAAACAATCCCTTCATCCTATACTATTTTAAATATTCTCATTGAGAATGACGAGCTATCTTTCTGCAAATAAATATACAAGTTAATCTCACTTTTTGAATCTGACATGATTACAGAATGCTACAAACTAGACCATGTGCTACAGGAAGACTCACCTTTAAAATATTTCAAGGAAAGAAATCATCTTTCTTTTAAAGATTGCTATGGAAGGAGATTATACAAACATATTTGGAACCTTAGAAAATGTTTGAATAACCTATTCTGTCAGGAAATTCTTCCCAATTATTATCTAACAAATACCTTCACTGCCATTTTCAGCCTTTCTTCAGATTTCTGTAACATCCTCCTTTTGAAAATATTTTACTAACTGAATTTGCAAATAATTCAATCACCTCAGGCCTTCATTTACACGTTCAACCAAAAAGCAGAAAAACACAGTAAAACAAACAAAACCACCACTACTACAATCAACAAAAACCTAGTTCACTCACTCAACCTGTACTATGCACTAGGTAGGTGGGTAAGTACAATGTTTCCTTTTTTAAGAGAAATTATACCCTCCTTTGAAGTTAAAGTAAGCACCCCTCTCACTCACAATGAGGGCTCTTCCATACTCACAACTGTTGACAGATTTGGGGTCCCTGAACTGCTTAAAGAAGGGCAAGAAGCACCCAACTGCCATAAATAGTGACAGATACCTTCACTGAAAATTCTCATCATGACCCAAGTTGAAACTATAGTTTCTCTTTATGAGCAAAACATTGAACCTGCTGTAGAAGATGAAAAGAACTTATGTCAGCACAGCTATTTAGCTTTATATCAGAAAATGAACTTCTGAAATGGAAAGAACAGGTGGTGATATAAAACTGCTAGAAACAGAAAGAAAAAAGAATAATTGGCCTCTAAATGAGAAAAGATAAAACCTAGAAAGTCAATACACTGAAAGGAGGTAAGGCCTAAGGCAAGAAATAACACAGGCTGATCATGCAGATGAGCACTGAGTCTAAACCAACAGCAACCCTATTTTCAAATACTGACAGTGTGTAAAAAATGAAAGGGTACAGAAATAACACCAAAGAAAAAAATGGATATGTGCAAAAATGACAATAAAGATACTGAAAAGCCAGAGTTTTAAATAAAGGAACACAGCAAATAATTAGAAGAATGAGAAAAAAAATAAGTAGTAAGCCACACTGGACTTTTCTTTACTTTTCTCTCTTTTCTTACCTTTTATTTCTTCAATCATACATATACTAAAACTAAATCCCAACCCTGAGGTGAGTTTACCTAGGAAGTTTCTCTTTGAAGATCTATTCAGAAAATTCATTCTTCAATCACAAAAAGAATACTATGAAAATAACTTTAATTTCTAACTATGGTAGCAGCCACCAATAAAAAGGATTCAAATAAATTTTAAAATTAAAAATAAACCACTGCATACTGTATCTATGATACTTTCTATATTCATAAATAATCAAATACATTAAATAAGATACACCATACATACCAATTGTTACTGAACAATGAGTCAATTACTACTGAAAATATTAGCAGGTTTCTTGGTACTGTGAAAATACTGCTTCACATTCATTATTATTGAGTGATCCTTACCGAAGAATTATATTCTATATATAGTAACAATGATACGACAATCATACATGATTTATAAGCATGTTAAGTCATATTTCAAAATATACAATCTCGAGCTTACTGAACGATTTTTTAAAATTTCAAGAAGTGCCGAAATGAGGAATAAATTTGGCAGAAAAGTATTATTAATTTAATGTTCATTCATAGTACCTTGATATCCTGTTAGTCTGACTATTCTTAACCTGATAATGTCAAATGCCACAACCCACAAGATAAGATCTTAAAGTTAAAAGTTTCACAATCTTTCTTGGTTACCAAATTTTCCAAATTGTAAGTCACAGCTTACTATTCACAAAAAAAGAACACAGCAAGACTCAGGAAGCCTAAATTGTCTTCCCCATGTTTACTGTGCTTCAAAAATAAAAATGACCTTATCCTTCAAATGCTCCAAAGTTCCCAAGGCACTAGATAAACATCTCTTAATGCTGAAAGAATGGCTATGTGTTAAAACTAACTTAAAGAACTTCTAAAATAAATCAGAAAACTAATAACAGGATGTTAAACAATTTCACCGACTAAAAACACATGGCCTATAAACCCACTCATTCTTAATGGAAAACCCATTAGTTAATTTGAACAATAAAGTAGCATTAGAGTACCTTGTTAATAAAATGGAAATTAGGGATCAATTGCTACCTCAGACAAAATGTGGTAAGAATTAAAATGGTATTTCCAGTCTAACATCACAGCAACTCAGTAACTAGCAAAGATTTTTACAACTTGAAATCACCCCACAATGAACAGGAGACCTCATTCACATGGATGACAATGTACAGTTTCTATTTTTATCCTTGTAAATGGAAGGCAGATCATTTTGTCAATCCCCAAAGATTCCATGTTTCATTCATAAAACTGGATGAAAAGAGACAAATAAATTCTTTAACAGTTAATACTCATTAATGTGTTTAAAAACTAGCTGAGTTTTGCAATTAAGTGTTTTACCAAAATGAAAGTTGAAAATTTAAGAGAAAATAAGTGATGAGAAGAAACAGTAGTTGTCAATGCTGTAGAAAGTATACCTTAAAAAAATGAAACAAAGATACTAACAAAATTCTTGAAATAAGAAAGTATTTATATATTATATACATCACAGATATATGACAAAACATGAAGTCTGGGTTCTATTTTTTAAACATAAGTTGAAAAGGAAAAACAGAGACATCCTTTGCTACTCTATTATTTCTGTATTGACTGATTAGGTAGAAAACTAACATTTAAATCAATATTTAAATCTTTTAAATCACCTATAGAGAGGCTACTTAACACATACTTTCTGATACTAGCTAATAGGTAGCAGATTGAAACTTTAACCAAATAAATCAGACAAAATTAAATAAATCTAACTCAATTTGAATAATACTGACCACAGCCATACCTGATTTGATTTTATATTCATCATTACAGGTGAGTAGAAAGTATGAGTCAAAGTCAAATCAAGGGTAGATTCCGTCACTAACAAAGTGAGCCAAGTCAGAACACATTAAAAACAACTTTGTGTGATATGAATGTTTGAAGCAGTAAAGCTTGCTCAAAACAGCCCTGACAAAAAGACTAGGTCAATAATGTAGATCAAAATCTTACAAAGACAGTAAGTCGTCACTCCTAACTAGAGTTCAAGGAAGTGGTACATGAAAAGCCACATGAATTACAAAAATGCATAACTTCATTCTTCCAGGAGGTGGCACAATAAGGAAAAAAAAAAAAAAAAAACCAAAAATACACACTCAATGTACAAACATACATACATAGCTGAAAACTTCCCTTCCTAGACTGACTTTTTTTAAAGAGAGTAAAACAGATGGACATTTATACATAACCTTTCTAAAAGATTACCATATCTATTCTAAGTATTAATCTACTAGTGTCAAAGTTCTTGCAAACTTTATTTTTACCTTTCTGCAAAAATTTTCCATGTAAGAAAAGAATCATTTAGTATAGAACACTAATTTAGATTTGAATTTTACAAAGAGCAAAGCTGTCAATCCTAACTAGTTTTCAAGGAAGTGGCACATAAAAACATTTATATCACTTTTTTGAAAAATAACCTATATTTTATACTCAAATGATTGTTTAACGAAACATAAGTTGGCTGGGTGCAGTGGCCCATGCCTGTAATCCCAACACTTTGGGAGGCAGAGGCAGACAGAGAGCTTGAGCCCAGGAGTTCGAGACCAGCCTGGGCAACACGGCAAAACCCCATCTCTACTAAAAAATACAAAAATTAGCCAGGTATGGTGGCATGCACCTCTAGTCCCAGTTACTGGGCAGGTTGAGGTGGGATCATCACCTGAGCCCAGGCAGGTCGAGGCTGCAGTCAACCATGATTGTGCCACTGCACTGCAGCCTAGGCAACAGAGTGAGGCTCCATTTCAAAAAATAAATACATGAATAAATAAAAAACATGAAGTTATTAAATTACATATTTTTCTAAAATCTGTTATTTTAAAATGTCACCCAAAAACAATTAACAAGAGCAATTATAGTCATATTTATTTTGTTTACTTCATAAAATTATAATTTAACATGAGTAACAACACTCCCTTGGGTTTTACACGAATCTTCCAAGGACTTCACCCGTATGTGCTCAGAAAGGCAGCTGAAGCAATACAAAATGTTTTAAGAAAATTATCTCAACAACTCTTCCTTGCAGTTATCTCAGGAATTAACTGTTAGCAAATCCAGTAAATGAAAGAACCTTACTATAAAAACACATACAGATACACCTAACACACATATCATATTAAAATCTAAATAAAAACTGTGCATTTTATTTCCTCACTAATAAATAAATTTCTTTCAAAAGCATGCTGGCTGCATATTACATTAAAAACCTATAATTTAATGAAATTAATTTTAAACACTATTTCTACCCTTAGAATAAAACACCAATGGAATAAAACATTTTATTTGTAAGAAAAATACAGAAAGCTCACCAACTTGCTGTTGAGTAGACTAAGTTGAGAGGAGAAAGGTGTGCCTAATTTTAGAAGTGATATGGGTATAAACCAAACTTACAACCTGTTCATGAGGTTTCTGATTAATGAATGCATGCTTTGTCAAATTCATCTCTTCCACGTCTATCTTCCTAACAATGCCATATACTTTTCTCACCTTGAACACCTGGCTTCTTGGAGTTTTATTCCCATTGTAGCCCATATCAATTCCATTACTGGGGGAGGATGGACCAATTCGAAAGACGTGACAAAACATTCTCACGATCCTTAAAAGGCTCTTCATTTGAGCATCATAATTGCTAGATAGGCTGAAAATAAAAATTAAAATATGAGATTAGATGGAGTAAGACAAATTACATCTTAAAATACTTATTTTAAAACACTTTCATCCCACTGACCATCTGTTTTATATTATAATAACTGGAGTAAAATTCCTTTCCTATCATGATAGGAGGCAGAATGGTTTAACAGGAAGTTACATTATTTAAATTGCATATAAATAACTTACTATTTCTTAAGCACCCAGAATATAAGCAATAATCAAAGCATAAAATATGAAGAAAATCACTCCTTTAGAATAGTTTGGTTTCTTGTGGCAACAACTTCAAGGCAACCCCTAAACTTTTTACTTTCAAAAGTATATTTGTAAATTAAATTTATACTTTAGAAGTCTGACTGTATTTTCACAGAGAAGCAAAGGTATAAATCATCATATTCTTAGGCCAACCCACAACTGTTTTAACGAAGAAGCTAAACTGAACTCTCCGCCACTATATCCGTAATCCCATATCCCCTTCCCACCCCAGAATAGTAACCAATTATTCACATATAGAACATTCATAAATTGAATAATTTTAAAGTTGCTATTTGCATTAGGTTTGTTCTCTATATAATAGGCTGCCTTATGACTCTACATAAATATAGGAAATATTCGCCTACCATGAAAAAAGACTAAAATTCAATTAACACTAAATCATATTAAATTAACATAAACTCACTTTTACTAATCAGAAAGCCCTTCAGAATCCCACAGTATTGTGATTGCTCAACATTATGAATACCAATCATTACCTTTCCACAGAAAAACTGTAGGAGGTAGGCTAAATTTGTACTGAATCTAATAATATATCTTTAAACAAAATATTTTTGTTGGTTGATGGTGGTTTTATTTTGAAATCTCTAACATCAGTTATCTTGTATCACAAATGTTGGAGCAAAGCAAAGAGTTGCATGAACTTCCGGGCAGAACGGCAGGATTTATCTTTGTATGTTGGAGGCCGAAAGAGTGAGGATTGTGATCAACTCAGTATACCGTAACTGGAGGCTATATGAGTAAGCAGCAAACTCTTCTCATAAATGCAGGATGTTGGCAAACCGACAAACTGCGTCTGCCACCCAGAAGGAATGCTGAGGGCAGTCACGACCTTCTTGTGATTAGGTACATCTGAAGCCTGTTAAGCAATAATATGAACCTGTGAATCAAGCAGCTGACCAATTATTAGCTCCTCCTCCCTGCTCTTTCTACCCAGTAAGTACCAAGGGCTGTAGAAGCTCAAGGTTGTTGCTGCCTTTGCTCACTAGAAGCAGGGAGCTCTCTTCTTCTTTCCCTGGCCCCTTCCTTTAAAATAGTTTCTTTTGGCTGGGCGCGGTGGCTCACACCTCTAATCCCAGCACTTTGGGAGGCCAAGGCGGACGGATCATGAGGTCAGGAGATTGAGACCATCCTGGCTAGCATGGTGAAACCCCATCTCTACTAAAAATACAGAAAATTAGCTGGGCTTGGTGGTGGGTGCCTGTAGCCCCAGCTACTCGGGAGGCTGAGGCAGGAGAATAGCGAGAACCCAGGAGGCAGAGCTTGCAGTGAGCCAAGATCGCACTACTACACTCCAGCCTGGGCAACAGAATGAGACACCTCTCAAAAAATAAAAAAATTAAAATATATATATATTTTATATATGTTATATATATTATATATAATATATATATACAGTTTATTTTGTCTCAAGTTTTGATTTCTGTGTTCATCCTACTTTGTTCAGTCTCATAATGACGGTCTCAAGTAGTAACAGTAGTAACTGTCATAGTGATGGTCTCAAGTAGTAACCATGGCAGTAAGCCACATTTGTATAATTTAATTATCAAAAACTTACTCTCTCTTCCCTTATATATATTTTACCCAGTTCATTGAAATCTTCATTTATGATATCTGTAGGTATTCTTCAATTTTTTTTTTAAATAGTATTAGTAAGATGGTAATGACAAATGTCCACTTTCAAGTATTTGTTTGATAAGTACCAAATTAGAGGGCATTTTCAACCATGGTTACATGAACCAAAATTTCTTGACATTTTCACTTCATTAGCCATGTTTTTTTCTCATTGTAAGACTCATTAAATTGTTTTAAAAGTCAATAAAAATTAACTTTCAGTTACCAGTGTTCGTAAAACATCAATAGCTATTGCTGTCACTATAGCTATAGCACATTAGCACAGCCTTTTTTGCCTCAATAATTTTGAATCAAATGTGTATAGAGTGATTAATTTAGCTTGCACTGATTTTTAAATATTTGTCTTTATGAAATAGTGATTCTAATTGCATATCATAAGTCTGTTGACACTAATAAAATAGAAATGTAGTTTGGTTGTAACCATCTCCTTCTTTTACTGTATTCCAGCTCTAGCAAAAGTGTTCCAGACTCTCAAATTCTGTAAGAGAGGTGTGAATTCCATTTTCTCTTTTTTTTTTTTTGAGAGGGAGTCTCACTCTGCCACCCAGGCTGGAGTGCAGTGGCTCAGTCTTGGCTCACTACAAGCTCCACCTCCCGGGTTCACACCATTCTCCTGTCTCAGCCTCCCGAGTAGCTGGCACTACAGGCGCCCGCCACCACGCCCGGCTAATTTTTTGCATTTTTAGTAGAGACAGGGTTTCACCGTGTTACCCAAGATGGTCTCGATCTCCTGACCTCATGATCCGCCCGCCTCAGCCTCCCAAAGAGCTGGGACTATAGGCGTGAGCCACCGCACCCGGCCAAATTTAATTTTCTTCTGCAAAAGTACCACATACACAAATATTTGTTTTAAATATCTTAGGGAATACATCATGAGTTATCTTACTTTAAGGTAAAATATATTTTCTTAAACCATGGAATCTGGTTATTATTAATTATAAATACAGTCTAACAATTTTGTATTACTTTACTCAATTGAAACTTCTTCTAAGATGAATCACTGGTGTAAAAAATATCATTTTCTCACTTTCCCACCGGTGAAGTATCCCTAAACTTCATATACCCTTCTCCAGTTGATCATAAAATGGTCATTTGTTTCAAAGCTGCCATGCCTCAATTTTAAAGTTTAAAAATTAATTTCTGGCCAGAGGCAGTGGCTCATGCCTGTAATCCCAGCACTTTGAGAGGCCAAGGCGGACGGATCACAAGATCACGAGATCGAGACCATCCTGGCTAACATGGTGAAACTCCGTCTCTACTAAAAATACAAAAAATTAGCCAGGTGTGGTGGCAGGTGCATGTAGTCCCAGCTACTTGGGAGGCTGAGGCAGGAGGATGACATGAACCCGGGAGGCGGGGCTCGCAGTGAGCCGAGATCATGCCACTGCACTCCAGCCTGGATGACAGAGCGAGACTTCATCTCAAAAAAAAAAAAAAAAAAAAGAAAGAAATTAATTTCCTAACTCAAACCCCTATCATTGTAAAATTCTTGCCTTTGGTTTATATGAGTATATTCTTATTCAGGGTCTTACTTAGCATATAGTTATGATTTCTCTGTTCATTTCCACATCGTTAACTACCTTTACTTTCAATCATAAATACACAGAAAGATAAAATTTCATTTCAATATAAACATAACATTATGTGCAAACGCCTCAGTAAATGTTTATTATCTTTAGCAAATATTCCTGAAATCAGTTAGATAACAGGCTACCAATTTTTCCAAAAGTGTGCTGGATAACACCTGAGTTGTCAATAATTAACATATATTTGAATCAGTTATTTTCTTAAAGAAAATTTCTATTAAAACAAGGGTCAACATTACTTCACATAACGGGTTAAGAAACATAAAATAATTCACAAATAAATGAACACAAATGATATACTCTACAAAAATACCATTAAACATAAATCAGCAGGGGGAAGCAATCTGTATTTGAAATCATCTTAAGAATTACCATTTAACAGTACAATAAATTCTAACTAATAACCAATACTCACTACCAATCCCAACAATGAGATATTTACAGGCCAAAAATGGCCATAAAAATAAGATTCTATAAAGCATTTGGAAGGCAGCACTGTAAAGTGGTGAGACAGCACAGTGTAGCAGAGTAATTTTTTAAAAACTACTATTGTTTTGGCCATGGATTCCTTTTTCCTACCCTGTTTCTCCTGTCCCACTAACCACCCCTGTCATTTTTAGAAGCTAGATTAGAACCTAGAATCTGCTACTTACTACTGAGGATATATATCCAGGTTTATTTATTAGCTTGGCAAATCATTTAACTTCAATTTTTTTACACGTAAAGTGGAGATAACATCTAAATTACAAAGTTACTGTAAGGTTTAAGTGAAATAATATATTTGAATGTTCCTTAGCTTCGTACCTGCTTAATAAGTGATGAAGGTAAACTTAAAAACATAGACACATAAAAACATAAATGCTTTCTAATTACTGTGGAAGTATATACAATCTGACAAATATTTAAGTAGAAAAAACAAGTTTTCTAATGTAGGAAAACAGGTTAAATGGTATTATAGGGGTACTTAAAATAATAACTATCATCACCTCTACTATATACTGGACCCCTTACTTTGCACTTTACAGAATTATCTTATTTCACTCTCACAACTCATTAAGATATTTATTACCAGTTTCCAACAAAATGGAATAAAATCCAGTAAAATCCTGACTAGACTGTAATTTCAACATAGAGATCTTGTCTGTTTTATTCATGATCACCTCACAGATGGCCTAATGGATGGTAGGCCCTCAAAAATACTGGGTGCATTATTTGGCTGGGTGCATTGGCTCACACCAGTAATCCCAGCACTCTGGGAGGCTGAGGCGAGCCAATTGCCTGAGCTCAGGAGTTCAAGACCAGCCTGGGCAACATGGTGAAACCCCATCTCTATTAAAAATACAAAAAATTAGCCGGGCGTGGTGGTGCGTGCCTGTAATCCCAGCTACTTGGGAGGCTGGGGCAGGAGAATTGCTTGAATCTGGGAGGCGGAGGTTGCAGTGAGCCAAGATTGTGCCACTGTACTTCAGCCTGGGCAACAGAGTGAGACTCTGTATAAAAAAATAATAATTATATATGTGTGTGTGTGTATATATACATATATACATACACATATATATATGTATATATATATTCGATGGATGGGTGGATGTTGAAGGGAAAAGTTAGTTGCTAAGGTAACACAGTAAATGATGATGTCTGGATGTAAGTCTGAGTCTGGCTGACTCCAAGCCCATGCTTTTAGTTAGTATATCTGAATCTTACAAGCGTTCCATGAAATACACGGATTACTGGGAATAACTAAATAAGAGCATTACGGAAAGCTAGAATTCAATGACTGTTATAGACAGAGTCTATGAGTAGTCTCAATGGTAGAAATAGAATAATTTTTAAAATGAATAAATGGTATATTGAGTAGAATTGCTGAAAAAAGACTAAATGGTTAAAAGAATATAAGAAGGTGATCTTGGAATCACGAAGTATAAGGAACCTAGCAAAGGGCCTTTTAAGTAAACAGTACAGAATGTGATTCTGATCTGAAATACATGAAAAGTCCCAAAGAAGACTGAAACAAATGGCTAGAATAATAAATTTAATAATACAGCTGATTTAAAGAAGTAGCATGGTGTTGGGTGGAAAAAATTTCAGTTGCAACTACAGAGATGGGAGAAGATCTTGACCTGTCAATCTACTAGGAGTGGAAGTAATTAGTAAAACGAATAATACGAAGGGGAAAGCATCCAAATTAGAAAGGGGTCAAATCTGCAGGCTAAGAAATAATAAGGGAATAATCATTTCTCAGTGGCTGCTTATTCCTAATTGGGGTAGCCAGCCACATAGAAAGAAGTGTAGCTACAGAAAAACACTTCATATATAAATTCAAGTAATATAAGGCATTAACTCCATGAACTTAGTGATGAGCCATTAAAACCACAGGATCTTTTAGAAACAATAAAGAACTTAACTGAGGGGGACAGTTCAGAGAAAAAAACTTTATGAGGGGGTCATGAGAGTACACTGAAAGGTTAAACAGTAGCTTGTACCTACTTTTATTTTATTCATTAGTGGTCAAGATTCCTGAACTTTCTCGATTCTTCTTCATGTACATTTACTTACATGTCTAGGTAAGTAATCATTTCACAAAATTCTAGACACATATGCCCAAATTCACTCTCTTCAGAGAGATTAAAATCTCTTTAGCAATAGTTGATTACCCTGGTCCTTTCAAACAAAACAAACCAGAAGTCAGCAAATTTTTATAACATCGTTATCACTGACAAAAGGCGTCCCACAGAATAAACTACTTAGGAGGTGAAGCCAACAGACACTGCTACCTATTGATTTCCTCTTATTGCGAAACACTTACCTAAGCAGTTTATGACCATTTGTTGTAGCAACTTCAGCAAGGCTTGTTAGAATCTTTAGGTACTGACTTTCACTTTGCTGAGACAAATGCTCCAGAACTTGCCGTAACTAAATTTTTTATAAATAAAAAAAATGTGATTACATGGCAATCCATTAAATCTTATTAAACAATTAAGTACTTATTAATTATCTTAAAGCCAATTAGTCTAAATCAAGTCCTTTAGTTATTCTGCCTTGCATACATTTAAAAGCTAATATAGAGATATAATGATACACAATAAAATCTTTGTTGAAAATCACCCAGTTACAAAACAATAGTAAATATAGATAGAATTTTAAAAACACCAAGTATAGTTTTGGAAATTTAATTCTAAACTTCTAAAATAAAAGAGAAATTTAGAGCAATTTTTCTGAGACTTAAACTATCACAAACACATAGCTGAGTAAACTAGTGATTACCAATCATAATGATATTCCTCCACAGTCTTTTCCTCTTGCCATGGGAACATTTTTTTTTTTTTTATTTAAAGTCACAGCATCACTGTATCGCCCAGGCTAGAGTGTAGCGGGCAGGGACATGATCTCGGCTCACTGCAGGCTCAACCTCCTAGGCTCAATCCCTCCTCCCAGCTCAGCCTCCCAAGCAGCTCGGACTACAAACGCATGCCACTACATATAGCTAATTTTTGTAATTTTTTTTTTAAGAGACTGTGTCTTTGTTGCACAAGCTAGTCTCAAACTCATGGACTCAAGCAATCCACCCACCTCAGCCTCCCAAAATGCTGGAATTACAGGCGTGATACCACACCCAGCCTATTCTAGTTATCTTAAGGAGAGACCAAAGACCCATAGGGCAGAAGATTTATATGGCCAAATATTAGCAAAAACTGTATTAATTATTATCTAACTCATACTTATCCTATAATGCAGATAAGCTAATTGTTAAGATATTTGTGACAATAAGGAAAATTACTAAGCTAAGCACATTTGTAAAATGTCATATATGCTAAGCAGAAATAAAGTGTCTTCATTTACAAGCTACTAGCACAAATACATTACCATGTTTTCTCGGAGGTCTTCATTCTGTGTCATTTGAATAATAGTCTGAAAAAGCCTCGGGTGATACTGAATTAACACTTCACAAGTCTCTCCATATCCACCCTAAAAACAAGACTTCAAATTATCCAGGTTTAAAAACAGTTCCTTTTAAAGTTTATATTCTTCACACAATAAAAATCTTTGCACCTACCCTTTCATTGAAAAAAATTATAATTGTTACCACTCCAGTTTCTATTATAAAGATAAGGGGCTCAGAATATAAATTAAAAACATACCTGCACACATAAATCCAGAGGAGTTACTCCATTTTTATCTGGCAGATATTTGGCCCCTCGTAGTAGTAGAATCTGTGCTGTATCTCTCTGACCATGACTGTGTAGAAAGAGAAGCAAGTTAAAAAGACAATCTTTTTAAAAGTCTTTCTCTACGAATTATGGATAGTCATTTATTATGAGTCAATAAAAACTAACAATTTTAAAAATTAAGACAAGAGGATGTGAAACACATGCTCACAATCAGAAAAACTTCTCTCAAAGTTAAGCCATGCTTTCACTATGTAGACCAGAAAGTGGCCTACTAAATTTTAGAATTGAATTTGTGTCACATTTCCTAAAATAGGCATAATATTTTGGGGATAAGTAACTACTACTGAGCCTTCTGCTTTATTTTTTTCTTACATTCACTTCCTAATCTCTCTCTCCACCTTAACTTGACCATTTGCAACTTTAGCCTCACCTTCTTCCTACTACACAAATCCAAGTCTCTAAGCTTCTTAATCCAAAAGAACCTCAAGAGTCAAAACAAGAGTACATTTTATGGCACACTTGTAATACATTGTCAAAAAAAAAATTAAAACAAAGGAAGGAGAAAAGTAAAACCAATGGAAGAGAATCTGGGGAAAAAGGGAACATGAAGTGGGGTTATTAGCCAAAAATACTATCTAGCTTTTGACCTTCATTTTACCAACCCACTCAGTTTGGCTTCTGCAGATGGGTATTCAATCTGTCCTAGAATGAACTCTCCTATCCACATGCCTCATTCCCTGATTGCTCTCTCTTGTAGAAATAGAATTGGTAACTATCACTCCAGGGAAATTAATGTTAACGGCTGATTCTTAAGAAATGCCCAGGGCCAGGCATGGTGACTCACGCCTGTAATCCCAGCACTTTGGGAGGTCAGGGTAGGTGGATCACCTGAGGTCAGGAGTTCAAGACCAGCCTGGCCAACATGGTGAAACCCCGTCTCTATTAAAAATTCAAAATTAGCTGGGCGTGGTGGCAGGTGCCTGTAATCCCAGCTACTTGGGAGGCTAAGGCAGGAGAATCACTTGAACCCAGGAGGCAGAGATTGCAGTGAGCCAAGAATGCCCCATTGTACTCCAGCCTGGGTAACAAGAGCGAAACCCTGTCAAGAAAAGAAAGAAAAAAAAAGAAAAGGGAAGGGAGGGAGGGGAAGGGGGGATGGGATGGAAGGGGAAGGGAAGGGAAAAGGAAAAGGAAAAGAGAAAGAAAGAAAGGTCCAAATAAGTTGTACAGTTTGGAAGAGCATGAATCCAAAAAGTACTCTGTATATGAGAAAAGCAAGTAATCAAAGCACAGGTGAAACTAGAACTCAGGCACCTGGGCTTCTAGACCAATAGTCTTTCCACAATAACATTACCTAGAGAGGCATGTGATTTCACAAAGAAAAACACTACACAGATTTCTCAGAAACTTAAAATTCTGTTTCACAAAATGGCACTGTATGAAAAATAATTTATAGCCAATTGGAATTAAAGTGTTTTTAAAAAAAACTTAATAGTATCCTACTATGAATCTAGTGCCAGAAAACCCTGCAACAGTTATTATAGGTCTATCACTCTCTTGATACTTTATTATTACACTGATTATCTTCCTTAATACCAATAAGCCAGAACTTAAGAATAATATCTAATTTATTCGAGAAAAATCAAAAAAGTAAATCAGCAATCCCTTTGAAAGGAACAATAATCAGCTTTACCAGCATCAAGCAAGAAGTCTTCATCAAGCATTACTTGTCATTCAGCTCAAAGTGTTGGTCAAGATGTTATAAACAATAGCTAACGGTGATTAATGTTTAATTTACACTGTTCCTTTCTTTCACATACCTAAAAATAGAGGCCAAGTGAAAAGCAACTAACTTGAGCTTAATTTATTTAGGGATATAGTGATACTTTTGCTAGTAGCCAAGGTTCTAAGGAATCCATCTTATAAAACTGCTGAGTTCAATTTTAATGATATCTCTTTTACAGTTCTTTAACATCCATGTGTCCAATTTTTTCCAATTAAATTGTAAACTTCTTGACAGTAGACCTGTTCCATACCACCAAGCATGGCAGTTGTCTTATAACATGTACTCGATACATTCAATGAATTGTATTATAGGCTTTAACTTCAGACACCGTTCATTTGACAAATAAGTATTAAAGACAACACCGCACTATAGAAAATAACAAGAGACCTGAAACACAATTTATTTAGGATACACTAGGTAACAAGCATTATGCTCAGTCCTCTGTCCAAAGTCTGACTTAGTGCTGACACTGTTATAAGCCTCCTTACATTAAGCGAACAGGAGGCCATTAGCCTGAGACTGTCACTATACTTCTGAGTTCCTCTGTAACAAACTTCAGCTTAACTTGGGAGTATGTATTTTGCAACAAAGAGCGGTTTCAAGAAATTAGACAGCCAATTCTTCACACCATGACCAAATTAGGCAAATACATACATAAGGGTAGCCAGTCACGTGATTTCTCTACTTTGCTTCCATATTCAGCCTATAAAAGCTCATTACTTAGAAACTGCTGGGAAGAGCTCTCTCACCCGCTTCTGATTCTGAGTGCTGCCTGATTCATGAATCGTTTTTCATTTAAATAAACTTAAAACTTATTTTTTCTAAGATTTTTATTTTAACAATATTCACCCAATTTTTCAGATGAGAAAACCATGGCTCAAGAATATAATGGAGTTGCTCAAGATGAACAGTTACATGGCAGACCAGAATTTGAATCTGTATCAGTCTGACTCCAAAATCTTTCATCGATATCATGCTGCTCTAGCAAGATAAACAGAGATTGTCCTTTATGTTTTGTGACCTGTAAAAGTAAACAATTTAGTCTTAAGACTCCCGTTCCAAGATGGCCGAATATGAACAGCTCCGGTCTGCAGCTCCCAGAGTGATCGACACAGAAGATAGGTGATTTCTGCATTTCCAAATGAGGTACCTGGTTGATCTCAATGGGACTGGTTGGACAGCAGGTGCAGCCCACGGAGGGTGAGCCGAAGCAGGGTGGGGCGTCGCCTCACCTGGGAAGCCCAAGGGGTCGGGGGATTTCCCTTTCCTAGCCAAGGGAAGCCGTGACAGACTACCTGGAAAAACGGGACACTCCTGCCAAAATACTGCACTTTTCCCAAGGTCTTAGCAAACAACACACCAGGAGATTCCGTCCCATGCCTGGCTCGGCGGGTCCCATGCCCACGGAGCCTTGCTCACTGCTAACGCAGCAGTCTGAGATTGACCTGCCAGGCTGCCAGGGGCATCTGCCATTACTGAGGCTTGAGTAGGTAAACAAAGCTACCAGGAAGCTCGAACTAGGTGGAGCCCACTGCAGCTCAGCAAGGCCTACTGCCTCTATAGACTCCACCTCTGTGGGCAGGGCATAGCTGAATAAAAGGCAGCAGACAACTTCTGCAGACTTAAATGTCGCTGTCTGACAGCTCGGAAGAGAGCAGTGGTTCTCCCCGCATGGCGTCTGAGTTCTGAGAATGGACAGACTGCCTCCTCAAGTGGGTCCCTGACCCCTGTGTAGCCTAACTGGGAGACACCTCCTAGTAGGGGCCGACAGACACCTCATACAGGCGGGTGCCCCTCTGCGATGAAGCTTCCAGAGGAAGGAACAGGCAGCAATATTTGCTATTCTGCAACCTCCGCTGGTGATACCCAGGCAAACAGGGTCTGGAATGGACCTCCAGCAAACTCCGACAGACCTGCAGCTGAGGGGTCTGACTGTCAGAAGGAAAACTAACAAACAGAAAGGAATAGTATCAACAACAACAAAAAGGACATCCACACCAACACTTCATCTGTAGGTCACCAACATCAAAGACCAAAGGTAGACAAAACCACAAAGATGGGGAGAAACCAGAGCAGAAAAGCTGAAAATTCTAAAAACCAGAGTGCCTCTTCTCCTCCAATGGATTGCAGCTCCTCACCAGCAACGGAACAAAGATGGATGGAGAATGACTTTGACGAGTTGACAGAAGTAGGCTTCAGAAGGTTGGTAATAACTACTTCTCCAAGCTAAAGAAAGATGTTCTAACCCATCACAAGGAAACTAAAAACCTTGAAAAAAGGTTACATTAATGGCTAACTAGAATAAACAGTGTAGAGAAGACGTTAAATGACCTGATGGAGCTGAAAACCATGGCTGGAGAACTCTGTAACGCATGCACAAGCTTCAATAGCCAATTTGATCAAGTGTAAGAAAGGATATCAGTGAATGAAGACCAAATTAATGAAATAAAGCGAGAAGACAAGATTAGAGAAAAAAAGAGTAAAAAGAAATGAACAAAACCTCCAAGAAATATGGGACTATGTGAAAAGACCAAATCTATGTCTGATTGTTGTACCTGAAAGTGGCGGGGAGAATGAAGCCAAATTGGAAAACACTCTTCAGGATATTATCCAGGAGAACTTCCCCAATCTAGCAAGACAGGCCAACATTCAAATTCAGGAAACACAGAGAACACCACAAAGATACTCCTCGAGAAGAGCAACTCCAAGACACATAATTGTCAGATTCACCAAGGCTGAAATGAAGGAAAAAATATTAAGGGCAGCCAGAGAGAAAGGTCGGGTTACCCACAAAGGCAAGTCCATCAGACTAACAGAGGATCTCTCAGCAGAAACCCTACAAGTCAGAAGAGAGTGGGAGCTAATATTCAACATTCTTAAAGAAAATAATTTTCAACTCAGAATTTCATATCAAGCCAAATTAAGCTTCATAAGTGGAGAAATAAAATCCTTTACAGACATGCAAATGCTGAGAGATTTTGTCACCACCAGATGTGCCTTACAAGAGCTCCTCCTGAAGGAAGCACTAAACATGAAAAGCAACAACCAGTACCAGCCATGGCAAAAACATGCCAAACTGTAAAGACCATCAATGCTATGAAAAAACTGCATCAATTAATAAGCAAAATAATCAGCTAACATAATGACAGGATCAAATTCACACATAATAATATTAACCTTAAATGTAAATGGGCTAAATGCCCCAATTAAAAGACATACTGGCAAACTGGATAAAGGGTCAAGACACATCAGTGTGCTGTATTCAGGAGACCCATCTCACATGCAGAGACACACATAGGCTCAAAAAAGAGGGATGGAAGAAGATCTACCAAGCAAATGGAAAGCAAAAAAAAAAAAAAAAAAAAAAAGCAGGGGTTGCAATCCTGGATAAAACAGACTTTAAACCAACAAAGATCAAAAGAGACAAGGCCATTACATAATGGTAAAGGGATCAATTCAACAAGAAGAGCTAACTATCCTAAATATATAAGCACCCAATACAGGAGCACCCAGATTCATAAACCAAGTCCTTAGAGACATACAAAGAGACTTAGACTCCCACACAATAATAATGGGAGACTTAAACACCTCACTGTAAATAATAGACAGATCAACACAACAGAAGGCTAACAAGGATATCCAGGACTTTAACTCTGCACCAAGCACACCTAATAGACATCTACAGAACCTTCCATTCCAAATCAACAGAATATACATTATTCTCAGCACCACATTGCACTTATTCTAAAATTGATCACATAATTGGAAGTAAAGCACTCCTCAGCAAACGTAAAAGAACAGAAATCACACACTGTCTCTCAGAGCACAGTGCAATCAAATTAGAAATCAGGATTAAGAAACTCACTCAAAACCGTACAACTACATGGAAACTGAACAGCCTGTTCCTGAATGACTACTGGGTAAATAACGAAATTAAGGCAGAAATAAAGATGTTCTTTGAAACCAATGAGAACAAAGACACAATGTACCAGAATCTCTGGGACACATTTAAAGCAACATGCAGAGGGAAATTTATAGCACTAAATGCCCACAAGAGAAAGCAGAAAGATCAAAAATCAACACCCTAACATTACAATTAAAAGAACTAGAGAAGCAACAGCAAACAAATTCAAAAGTTAGCAGAGGGCAAGAAATAACTAAGATCAGAGCAGAACTGAAGGAGACAGAGACACAGAAAAACAATGAATCCAGGAGCTGTTTCGAACAGAGCAACAAAATAGCTAGACTGCTAGCAAGACTAATAAAGAAGAGAGAGAAGAATCAAATAGACACAGCAAAAAATGATAAAGGGGGTATCACCACCTATCCTACAGAAATACAAACTACCATCAGAGAATACTATAAACACCCCTACGCAAATAAACTAGAAAATCTAGAAGAAATGAATAAATTCCTGGACGCATATACCTTCCCAAGACTAAACCAGGAAGAAGTTGAATCTCTGAATACACCAATAACAGGCTCTGAAATTGAGGCAATAATTAATAGCCTACCAACCAAGAAAAGTCAGAATAGATGGATTCACAGCCGAATTCTACCAGAGGTACAAAGAGGAGCTGGTACCATTCCTCTGAATGGCTAGTACCATTCCTTCTGAAACTATTCCAATCAATAGACAAAGAGGGAATCCTCCCTAACTCATTTTATGAAGCCAGCATTTTTTTTAAGATCACTTTGCTGAGGAAACAAGAGACTGGAGGGAAACAACATAGGAATCAGGGAGACCAGTGTAGAGATTACTGAAGTACTCTAAGCAAAAGGTAACAACATTAAGGTGGTTTTGGTTGAGTTAGAAGTTGAGATTCCAAACATATTCTGAAGGTAGAATTTACAGAACTTACTAATAAATTCCAAGTTCACAAAGAGAGAGAGAGAAATAAAAAATAACCTAATTATTTCTAATTTAAACAACTGACAGGATAAGGTTTCTATTGATTAAGATGAGGAAAAACTGGAAGAAAGGTTTGAGGAGGAAAATCTGAAGCTATATTTTGACATGTTAATATCTGAGATTCTGCGGTACTTCTAAGTGATGATGTTAATCAGGGAGATGGACATTCAAATCTGGAGCTTCAAAAAAAGGTCTGATCTAAAGATAACCCTTCAAGATAGGATATGATTACAGGGGATCAAATGATGGTATTATTCATAAATTCAGGACACTATGGAAGGAACTGGTTTTCTAGCCAAGCAACCAAATCATAAATATAATGTTAAGAAAGTGGCTGGAATCAGAAAGATCTGCAAGTCTAGAAACCCAAAAGCCCCTGAATTCTAATACAGGGTTGTTAAACAGATGATCTGAATCGGTCTCATCAAAGGAACATGAGAGACCCCAAAAAAGAAGCTAAACAAGAAAAAATGCAGGTCTTTCAACCTAAAACCAACTTCCAATAAAATGATATAAAACAGAAAAAAAGAAGAAGAGAGGAGCTTTCTGGAGAGCTCTATATCGGGATATAAAGGCCGAAATAAATATTACAATTCATACAATTTAAATCAAAAAGAAGAATCACTATAGTGTTCTGTGAACTGATGCTAACTGCAAACTACATTTACATAATACATAATAGATAGGTGTGTATATATTTTTATATATGTGTGTGGGTGTGACAGCATGTGTATAATTATACTATTAGCTCCTTAGGGACTAGAGTTTATTACTGTTTTACACACCTACAACAATGCATGACACAGTGAGTGCTAACTAAACATTTGATGAATACATGAATGAATAAGTGAACGAAATGCACACGTCAAGAAAATGAACCAATACAGAAATACGAAAATAACTTAATGTATAACAACATCTAACAAGACTGACTCAAGATATTTTTTTGGTTATAGATACAGAGAAATAAAGACATGGCTTTGGATCAAGATATATTCCAACAGCTTATCCCACTGGAAATGACCTGGTTACAGAATACAGTAAACTATGGGAATTACCAGGTTACCAATTTGTCTTTTGTTAATAAGTACTTAGTCTAAAATTGAAGTAATCAAGCAAATCAAAAGCTCCCACATATAACATAAAAGCAATGGCAATTAAATATAACAGAAAATACTTTTCCTCATGCAGTTAAGTAATAGAAACATAACACTTCATCTTAAAAGAGAGATTATACTTAATCTTAAAAGAGAGCACAATATTTGTGGGAAAACGAGAGCTTTAGAAAATACACAGAAATATGTGTGTCTAGAAATAGAGTATACATACATCTGGAAATATATTTCTTTATATACATATATATACACGAGTATACACAGCATCTGGAAATATAAAATATCATACCTGCAAGCAAAGTACAATGGAGTTGCTCCTGATACATTTGGCCTGTTAATATCAGCACCACTGTCTAGCAAGCATTGCACTGTCTGAAGGGGAAAAAAATAATTAAAAGTAAAGCCAGAGGAATGAAACAAAAGATACAATTACCACAATTTTAGTCCATATAAGGAAAGTTCTTTCCACAGCTTGAAGCTTTACATAGGAACTGACTGGACATGTGACAATTCCTAAGGCTGAGCAAATTCAACTTTTTGTAAGCTCTAAGTTTCTCAGGCACAACACAATACATGTGGAATTCTCAGTGTAATAGAAATTGTGCTAATCTGGAAGTCTTTAGAGCAGCACTGTATCAAAAGTAGTCAGTAGTCACATATGGCTACCAAGTACTTGAAATGTGGCTAGTACAGCTAAGAAACTAAAATTTTAATTGTATTTAATTATAGCTCATTTGAATCTAAATAGTCACATGTGGCTAGTGAATTGGACCCTACTGCTTTAGACATTTAAATTTAAATTGCTTTAAATACCAGAATTCTTCACCTCTAAAAAAATAAGTACCAGAGTAAAACTTTCCCAAAGTCAAGAGAATAATTATTAAAATACAAAATTTTAAAAAGCTAAGAAACCCCTTTGCTATTAACAGTAGCATATACAGGCTCAATTTCACTGATTGCCATTAATACATACTTAGTCCCCTAAGTTCTACTCCTCCAATCATTTGACTCATACTAAAAGAGTACGCTAATATAAAATCTTAAAAATACATATCTGTTGATTAAGGACAGGATAGGGCCCAGTTGAAAACCTTTTAAAAAAAAAACTTATATGGTTTTATTCCTAAAATTCTAATTTGAGTTTTTCCTGCAAAAAGGAAGAAAATGTAAAAACATAAAACATGAGGCAATAGGTGGCTTGAGGCCAGTAGTTTGAGACCAGTTTATTCTATATAGTGAGACCCCATTTTTACAAAAACATTAAAAAATGAGCTAGTCATGGTAGCACATCATAGTAGTAGGCCTAGCTACTCAGGAGGCTGAGGCGGGAGGATCGTTTGAGCCCAGGAGCTCAAGGCTACTATGAACTATATTACACCACTGCATTCCAGCCTGGACAACAGAGCAGGGCCCCTTAATAGTTTGAAATTAGACATTTATTACTTCTGGATTGAACATATCTGTTCATCTTTTTTGCTGCTTTTAAACAAAGCACAATGTCCGTAAAATAATAAAACTAAACACCTAAAGGAAGAAGAACAAGAAAGAAAACAACAGCATACTGGATGAGTCAGTAAGTTTTGGAAATACAGCAAGCAAACGGAGAAATAGTAACTCACTTAGCAGATCAAAGAAAGCTGAAGTCTAACTGCCCACAAACGGAGATTCCAACAATAAGCAACTAAATTCTTACTCCAGAACACACACATTAAGAAAAAAAAAAAAAAAAAAGGAATAGAGGAAATTGGAAGTACCAGGTACCTTGGAACATAGGAGTGGTTATGTAGAGCTAAAAATAGGAGGAATAGTTGAAAGTCAATAAAAGAAACAGACTCTCCCTTAGGACCTTTCTTCCCATCCCATCCAGTTAGTTACTATCCCTCTTTAAATTGTCTCAGAAGATGGGAAGTTTACTCTCTGCACAAAGTGAACAGAGAGTCTCTGGAATGGGAGCCAAGAAACACAGGTGGAGCAAAGATGAGGAGCCATCGTGAAAACAACAAATTAAGTGAAAACCTCCAGCCTCCACGTTCCAACTAGGCTCCCAGAAATCCAGCAGGCAGGCTTAAAAACCTCAGGTAGAAGGAATTAAAAGCTTCCTCTCAATACTGGCATCAGAAAAGAGTCTTACAGATACTGGCATTAGACAGTCCCCAGAGAAACAGCTCAGTTCAGACAGACACAGTGGCTCATGCCTGTAATTCTAAGACTTTGGAAAACCAAGGTGGAAAGATCATTTGAGGCCAGGAGTTCAAGACCAGCCTGGGCAATTTAGAGAGATCCCATTTCCACAACAAAATTTTAAAATTAGCCAAGCATGGTGCTGCATGCAAGACACTATCTGTAAAGCAAGACCCTATGTCTAAAAAGAAATAAAAATTAAAAATAAAGAAACAGCCCAATTCGGAACAATGGGTCTATAGCAGTCGTCCCCAACCAAGGTTAAAATTTCCCTCTGAGAACATGAGGCAACTTTTTTATTTTTATGACCGCAGAAGGGAAACTGCTATTGGCAGCTAGTGGGTAGAGGTCAGGGATGCAGCTAAACATCCTAAAACGAAGATGACAGCCCCCACAACAAAGAATTATCAGATCCAAAATACCAATAGTGTTGAGACTGAGAAACCTTGGTATACAGTCAAACCAAGTAGTCAACAAACTCAACTCATGTACACAACGCTTCCAGTCAACATTTGAGTGCCTCACCATTATACACGAATGAACAGACAATATTTAAAATACAACTGAAGCAGGCCTCTAACCTGAAAAACAAAAATTACAACAAACCAAAAAACGGAACTCAGAATAACAAAGACAGTAAAGGGAACCAAAGAAAACAATAAAAACTAGAAAAGTAACTGACAACCTCAAACAGAAAAGAAATTATGCCATGGAATGAGAAAAGGAAGTTGGGTAGAAAATATTCAGGGAATGAGAAATCAAAAATACAATGCAATAAGTAAAAATTCAACAGAAGTTTAAAAAGAAAATGTTCAGGAATTCTACAAAGTAGAATAAAAAGACAAAATAGAAAATAAGAAAGATGAGAAAATTTGTGAATCAATCAAGGGAGACATACTGAAGAAAATGAGAATAAAGAAAAAAAAGGGGGTGAGGGATCAAAGGGGAATAACCAAGAAATAATACAAAAAAGGTTCCCAGAACTGAAAGACATCAGGTACCAGGTTTAAAAGGCTCAACAAATGTCTAGTCTATCAAATTAAAAGACCTTCAACAAGGCATGTCAAAGTGAAATTTCATGATAACATCAGGGATAGAAGATTCCAGAGATAAACAAAAATCATGTGGGCATTAAACTTCTCAACAGCAACACAGAAATCTAAAATGTAAAAGCCTTCAAAATTGTAAGATATATTACTCTATATGCAGAATTCTACAGCCAACTACACTATTATTCAAATAGATGCTTATAAATAAAAACGTTTAACTATTTTATTTTTTAAATTACCTTCAATGCACCTTTTCTCAAGAAGCTACTGAAGTATATCCTCCTCCAAATAAAGAGAATAAACCAAAATAGAAGACATGGAATCTAGAATATGGAGATCAAACACGGGAGAGACACTAAGATTATTTCTAGGTTTAGAGGGTGATATGGTTTGGATTTGTGTCCCTGCCAAAATCTCCCGTTGAATTGGAGGAAGGGACCTGGTGAGAGGTGACTGGAGCATGGGGACAGATTTCCCCCTTGCTGCTCTCATGAGATCTCATGGTTTAAAAGTGTGTGGTACATCCCCCCTCACACTCTTTCTCTCTCTCTCCTGCCACCATGTGAAGAAGGTGCTTGCTTCCCCCTTTGCCTTCCACCATGATTGTAAGTTTCCTGAGGTCTCATAGTCATGCTTCCTGTTAAGCCAGCAGAACTCTGAGTCAATTAAATGTCTTTTCTTCACAAATTACTCAGTCTCTAGTAGTTCTTTATAGCAGTGTGAAAAACTGACTAATATAGAAAATTGGTACCAGGAGTGGGACACTCCTATAAAGACACTTGAAAATGTGGAATCGACTTTGGAACTGGGTAAGGGGCAGAGGTTGGAACAGTTTGGAGGGCTCTGAAGAAAACAGTAAGATGTGGGAAAGTTTGGAACTTCCTAGAGACTTGTTGAATGGTTTTGATCAAACTGCTGATAGTGATACGGACAATGACGTCCAGGCTGAGGTGATCTCAGACAGAGATAAGGAACTTATGGGCAACTGGAGTAAAGGTCACTCTTGCTATGCTTTAGCAAAAAGGGAGTGGAAGCATTTTGCCCCTGCCCTAGAGATCTGTGAAACTTTAAACTTGAGACAGATGAATTAGGGTATCTGGTGGAAGAAATTTCCCCCCTTTTTTTTTTGAAACAAAGTCTCACTCTGTCTCCCAGGCTGGAGCGTATTGGCATGATCTCGGCTCACTGCAACCTCTCAGGTTCCAGCAATTCTCCCGCCTGCCAAGTAGCTGGGATTATAGGTGTGCACCACCACGCCCCACTAATTTTTTCTGTTTTTAGTAGAGATGGGGTCTCACCCTGTTGGACAGGCTGGTCTTGAAGACCTCACCTCAAGTGATCCACCCACCTTGGCCTCCTAAAGTGCTGGGATTACAGGTGTGACCCAGCATGCCCAGACTCTGGTGGAAGAAATTTCTAACCAACAAAGCATTCAAGATGTGACCTAGCTTATTCTGAAAGCATTCACTTATACGCATTCACAAAGAGATGGTTTGAAATTAGAATATGTTTAAAAGGGAAACAGAAGGCCAGGCACTGTGGCTCACGCCTGTAATCCCAGCACTTTGGGAGACCGAGGTGGGCGGATCACCTGAAGTCAGGAGTTTGAGACCAGCTTGGCCAACATGGTGAAACCCCATCTCTACTCTAAATACAAAAATCAGCCAGGCATGGTGGCAGGTTCCTGTAATCCCAGCTACTCAGGAGGCTGAAGCAGGAGAATTGCTTGAACCCAGGAGGCAGAGATTGCAGTGAGCCAAGATCACCGCATTGCACTCCAGCCTGGGCAACAAGAGCAAAACACAACTCAAAAAAAAAAAAAGAGCATAAAGGTTTGGAAAATGTGCAGCCTGACCAGGCAGTAGAAAAGAAAAACCCATTTTCTGGGAAGAAATTCAAGCCAGGTGCAGAAGTGTACATAAGTAACAAGGAGTTGAAAGTTAATAACCAAGACAACAGGAAAAACATCTCCAGGGCATGTCACAGACCTTCACTGCAGCCCCACACATCAGAGGCCTGGAGGCCTAGGAGGGAAAAATGGCTTCACAGGCCAGACCCAGGGCCCCACTGCTCTGTGCAGCTTCGGGACTTAGTGCTCTGCATCCTAAATGCTCCAGTGCCAGCTCCAGCCATGGCTAAAGG